ATATAGTTTGCCCAAGGTCACACAGGCTGGCTCTTCTTGTGGAGGGCATGGTAGGATATCAACGTCTCAGCCATTAGCTCTGCAGCCACGTACTTCATGTCAGTAAGCTATTGACCCAGCTAAAGATCGTTGTAAGATAAACAAATAAATATAGGATAGTGGTTATCAACTCTCTGTACTGTGCTCACGACCTGGGGTTCAATCCCAGGTAGCTGGCGCAAGGCTGACTCAGCCTTCTATCCTTCCGAGGTTGGTAAAATGAGTACCCAGCTTGCTGGGGAGGCAATGTGTAGCCTGCATAATTAACTTGTAAACTGCCCAGAGAGTGCTTGAAGCACTATGGGGCAGTATATAAGCAGCATGCTTTGCTTTGCTTTGCTTTGTACTTTTTGCATTTCATTGGATATGAATATGTATGAGTTCCTCAATTATAGCATAGTCCCTGAATGCTGTTTTAAGTTTGTTTTAAAAGTTTTAAATGGTTTTAATCATTCGATGTATTTTATTATTATTATTTATTTAATTTATATGCCGCCCACACTACCCAGAGGTCTATAGTAATTACTATTATAGTTTAATTATTTTAATGTATAATTTACTGTGTTTTTAATTCTATTTTTAACACCTTGACTCCATTTATTGGAAGAAAAGCAGCCTATAAATTATACAAATAAATAAACATGGAAAATAAATAACATCCATTGTATGTTTAATATGTTAATTTCCTTAAAATAAATTTACTGAATATGAAATGCCATAAATTCTCACTGCTAGGCATTCAGAACAGAATACTTTATTTTTTAATTCATTAAAGTGTCTGTAGTCCTTAAATTCATTGTTTTCGTTAGATTCAGATGTCAAGATATACATCACAGTAACAGTGACAGGCTGACGTAACTGTCTGTATTGTACAGATTGTTATTCTATCAGCTTGGCTATCATCCTAAAACTGCTTTCTCTTTACTCAAATGTCTGTGGTATACACTGGAAAGTTTCCAATATGTCAAATGTAGACCACAGTTTCTTGGTATTATGTATTGTGTGCTTCTTAATTGAAAATGGGCTACAGAAGTTACGTTTTTAAAACTCTACATGAAAATGCAAAAAGTTCCATCACAGTACACTGCACTATTACTATTGTTTTTGTGTACCATCAAGTAGCTTCTGGCTGACAACTGTATGAATTAGTACCCTCCAAAAAAGGTCCTACAAGGTTACAACCTTGCTCAACTCCTGGAAACTGAACACTGAGGTTTCCTTTATTGAGTCAAACCATCTCATATTTGGTCTAAATCTTTTCCTGCTGACTCTAACTTTTGCTGACATTACTATCTTTCTCAATGAGTTGTTTTTTTCAGCCTGAAGTACAGTAACTGCAGTTAATTCATTTTTGCTTCTAGCACCAATTCATTTGTTTTTCTGGCAATCCATAGTACCCATAAAGCTCTGTTTTAACACCATATTTTGAATGAATCAAGTTTTCAATAATGAAGGAATCCTAACTCCTTTATTTAGTGTATAGCTTTCACACCCATACACAGAAAGTAGGAATGCCACAGTATACATGATCACTGCCTTGGTCACCAGAGATACAATCTTTCTCTTGAGAGTATTTTCTAGTTCCTTCACAAACTGCCTTTCCCCAGTCTCAGGCTTCTTCTGATTTCTTGACTGCAATCTCCATTTGGGTTGATGTTTGAACCAAGGTATAGAAAATGTTTAACAAAATCAATGTTTTCATTGCAAACATTAAAATTACACAATTTTTTTATAATCATCGTTTTTGTCATGAATGTTCAGCTGCAGTATTGCTTTTGCACTTCCTTATTTCATCTTCATCAACAGTTGTTTCAAGCCACTGCTGTGTTCTGCATGTCTTAAATTGTTGACCCATCTGACACCTATATTCACTTCTCCTTTATCTGGATCTAATCCATATTTGTTCATAATATATTTTGCATAGAGATGGAACAGGCAGGGAGATAAAATGTACCTTTGTCTGACACCCATGTCTATGGGAAACCCTTCTGTTTCTCCATATTCTGCCCTAACAGTAGCTTCTTGTCCAGAGTATAGGCTAATGCATCAGCACAATCAATTGCTGAGGCACATTCATGTCTTTTATAAATGTTTTGCTGTAATCTCCAAAGCATAGAGTGATTTTTCTCTCAGTAGCCAACATATATTTGCAATATGACCTGTGATCTTTCTTTGGGTCTTATAACAGAGTATTCAAGGTAAGAAGTATTTAGAAGTGGGTTATCTTTGCCATCTTCTTCATACTGATAAGAAAAGTTAGGTTTTCACCATTATGGTCCATGAAAGATTATCCATTCTGCTGATATGATGGTTACTCCTCAAAGAGATGGATGCACCTTAATCTGGTGTTTCAGCTTTAACAATTCTGCCTTCGGTGTCTATACTAGGAGTCCAGTCTCATATGTGAGTCTAGCCTCCTGTCAGTTTGCCTGATACATTCACCACATTAAAGTATGCATCTGGGGGAGACACACCATTATACTGGTGCTGTCTTCATACAATTACTATTCCTCCTCTAGTGGCAGCACATGATTTTCTTCTTAGAAAAAGAACCTGTGACTATTTTCCTCTCCTTCACTGCTGCACTCCTCATATTGGGATGTCTTACCCTCCTCATTGTCCTGTGGTGATGCACAGTTTCTTCTGTCTAAACATTCTTCTCTTCCTTTCCACTCCTGCCCTATTACTGAGGTGATGAGTGTCCCACCCTGATTCTTTCATTCCCTCCTGGTGTGGTGCTCAGAAAAAAAGAGGTTTTTTCCCCCTCCAGTAAAAGCTGGTATCTTTTTCTTCTCAGTGCTGTTTGGCAAAGAGTAAAGAGGTAGTTTGTTGAAAGAAAGGAAGGTCAGTTTCCTTTTAGAATTAAGAAACTGAGAGAAAGAGCAATTTACAGGTAAATATAATGAAGTATGAGAAGAGAAAGCACAAGGCATATATAGCATTAGCAACAGGAAAGGAAGAGGAAGAAATTTGTATGCCACTATTACCACACTATCTTGTCTAGACTCTGCTGAAGAAAGAAAATGTGGTGCCAAATGCAGGACATTATAGCCCAAAACAAGATTTTCACCATGTTAGTCTCTGCCCTCACCACCATCTTTCAGCTTCTGTCCACGTGTCCTCAGTCCCCAGATTTAGCAGTACAGTGGAACCTCTACTTAAGAAATTAATCCATATTGGAATGGTGTTCTTAAATTGAAATGTTCTTAAGTTGAAGCAAAATTTCCCATAGGAATGCATTGAAAACCGATTAATCCGTTCTGGCTGTTTTTGGTTCTTAGGTCGAGGAGCGGTTTGTAGCCGATTAATCTGTCCTCTGCCACTAGGGAGAGAACATTTTTTTAAACCTAAGATTAGCTAAGTTTTTTTTTCCGTTCTTATCTTGGAGTTCCCTTCTCAAGTAGAAGCACAATTTAGCAAATGGAGCTGTTCTTAAGTTAGATCGTTCTTAAGTAGGGACGTTCTTAAGTAGAGATTCCACTGTATTCACAATGCATTCATCTGTTTCTTGGACTTTAAGATTATTTGAATCCTCAAGTTCCTTGCAAAGGATACTGAAACTTTGAGATATTTCTGATCTTAAGGAACATAGCAAGCTGTTTATCAATAGCATTCAGCACAGTCTGTCTTTAAAAGTAAAAAGATTTCAACATTAAAAAAAAGAAATCTAGAATTCTATTGTAAGTATTAGGATTTGTCACAAAGTTTTAGTCTGTATTTCCAAACAATGGAACAGGCAACCTTGACAATACAGAAGACTCAAATATTATGATAAATTGACTGACGTGTAAAAATCAAATGATCTGTAATCATCATTTTCCACACAATAGAGAAAGCAGTAATTTCCTTTATAACACAGAGAGTAACAGCAAAAATGCTGCACAGGAGGGGGAATGTGGTTGTATTATTGCGTACCAGGAATTTTTTAGTTTATTCCAATTAACTGAAAGGCATTAATCTTGAAATTATCATGAATACTTGTTTTGTATGGGAGTAATTGCATAAAACTGTTACATAGCAGATCATATTAAGATACCTGTGGATATAATCAAGATTACAGTTCTAAACTCATCAATCTCTGGTTTGCTAAAGTCACCGGTTAAATGAAGGATAAACAAACCTTTTTATATTTACTGTATTAGGTGCACTCTGTGGGATAGTTAATTCACTTTGTTTTCACCAGTGGCTAAATAACCAAAGAACAAAGCCATAATTATTCTCTGTACAGTATATATTACTGCAACCAAGTGACGAAGACAGCCATTTAAAGATTAAATACATAGGATCTGAAATGTGGGGAAGAGAAATATTTGTGTAACTGTGGGGAAAAAGAAAAGAACCTGTACTTTATCACTTGGTGTGGTGTCGTTTTTATACATATGCATACATTTCGGTCTAGTAACAAGAAAGAGACCCCCTAGGTTAAGTTAAACCATGTATGCAATCAGGGCTCAGATTGCTGCAGCCCAAGTCACGCCACTGAAAACACGTCTTCTTGCTGGTCCTTATTCTGTGTGCATTAAGAAACTGAGTAGGGATCATTCTAGCTACCTGACTGGAGTCAAATCCATGTTCTTGTCATAATAGTTAAAGACCTCATTGGGGGATGGGATGTAGCTCAAAAGCATCAGACTCTGGTTCTGCAGACGAGGGAAGCACTTTCAATTCAGCTGCTCTGCAATATGCATAGACTGTCTCTTTCTTGCACATTTCATTGCAAACTTTATAGCACTGACTTAACATTATAAAAAAAACCTATCAGCTGAAATAGCTCTTGTCCAGTTAGTAAAATACTTCTGTGAAGGGGGAGGGGAAGTGCAGCAAAATATCTGTGAAAAATATCACGTGGGTCTGCAAAAATTGAATTGCTGCTCACTCTGTCCAGTTTTTTTCCATGCAAAATCCACATGGATTTTGAAATTTATTCCCTACATAATTTTTTCACATGTATTCTTTCACAGATATTGTTCCATGGGGAAAAACCTTATGTCGAAATCGGACCTTGACTATGTAATGAAAGCTTCTTCTCATTTGTTGAGACTTGACCCATTAAAGTAAGTCTTCTGTTATTAGTGCAACTGCACTGTTGTAAATAAGTTATAAACTATTTTAGTCTAGTTCAGGTAATAGAAAAAGTAGTAGGAGATTATGTCTGAACTTACCACTGCTTATATAATGTAAGGGTGTCTCTAAACAAGTGAAATATGGGAGCAGAATGCAATCATTGTTAGGAAATCTTAGAAAACTAGTGTAGCCAATGAATTTTACATACAGTTCAACAGATCTGAGTTACTAAGCTCCACTGTGGCTCCTTTCAGTATACTGCTCCTCCCATCACACCGTGATTAAAGGCTTAAGCAAAGCTGCCTTGCAGTGATACCATCATATGCATGTGCAAAAGTCCTTTAGCTGAATTGAATTGACTAGATTATCTGTGTTCTCTAAGACAGTTACAAACAGGAAGAAACCAGTTCAGACAAAGAAGGAACAGACTTTGCATAAGAAGTATAATTTCTATAATGTGACTTAGCCTTCAATATCCTAAATGTATGTACCCAAGACATCTTACATAGTTTGGATTTATCATGTTTCATTCCACAGATACCTTCTTGATATTGACAGAGATTACTCAAGCCTACTATTCAGATAATTACTGGTAGTCATTATTTGTTTGGAAGAGGACTGGTCTTGACAGAGAACCCAAAATACTCAGATAAACTATTCCTTCACTCTCACTCCTTCTTTGCAGACAGTCAGAAGCTACCAAAGTATATTGGATTTTTCAAAACACAGCTGGTTAATATATGTGGGATATTGTGCTTCTGTATCCACTGGTAGAAAACATTCTTAAAGAAACCAATAAAATACTGTTCTTTTACAGCATACTAGTCATTTTCCACATGAAATCCTAATGAGCTGCCCCATGCATACCCCAGTATTTTTTCTCATGACACATCTTCAAGACATCCACATTCTTGACAACACTATGCTAAACTACTGCTGTGCTCTTTTAAACTGTATCAGAGATTATCATTCAGAGATCTCTGCTGTGCTGCCTAAGGAACCAGATCACTCCTGTCAGTCCTATGTGAAGGTGGTCCATCAAAAGAACTCACTACAACCCAGTTGGAAAGGACCATTAAAATGTGCTGATTATGCAGTAGAGTGCCAAGGACACCAGGATTCTACCTGCTTATCTCTTTTGAATAGTAGTCAGCACAAGAGGGTGTCCTGTAGACCAGGGGTCCCCAACCCCTGATCCATGGCCCCATCCTGGTCCTTGGCCGGACTGGGCTATAGAGATAGATCTCACAGCCCCCCCCCACATGCACTCTGCTCCAACCAAATGCCCACCACCACAGCCCCTTGTGTGTGAGTGTCCACACGGACCCTGTCACCCGCCCCACTGGTCTGCGGTGTCCAAAAGGTTGGGGACCACTGTTGTAAACCATCTTCACTGCTGCCATGGCTGTTGTCAACATTCAGGCTGCCATTTTTATGTGAAGTTTGGCATCCTTTTTTTCTGATGGCCACATTGGCACAATACAGGTATTGCGCAGCAATATTGGACCATTTCCTGGTATTCTGAATAGTGTATACAATATTACACATGTATAAACCAGAGGTTTTTTGAAGAATTGAATTTCCTGTCTTTTTAAAACAGAAGTTTAAGTATCCATAAACTACTCACAAATTCCAACAGAAACTTTCCTCATGTAGAACTAGTTGTAGAGAATCCCAGAAAATGATCACATGATCTATAATATGGTTGCTGGGAGAAGACAAAACCAAGAATAGCTGCAGTCCCTCTGTGCTAAAACATTGAGTGGCTGTTTTGAACTTAATGAAATGGTGAAGGAAAAGTGTGAGTGAATACTACACATACAACAGAAAAACATATACACATTTTAATCTCTCAGGTAAACTACTGTTATGCCAGCTCTGCAGAATGCAGACTAGAAAGCTATCTTCTAGTTTCCAAACCCTTGCTTTGCAAACATGTTGCTCACAAGTTTTCAAAAAAATGCCTCCTCCTTTGGAAATAGAAAAGGGGGCTGAGAGTTAGTACAGACTGTCACTTGAAACCAAGGTCAAAATCATCCATAGTATGTAAAAGGTGGATAGTGAAGAAAGACAGGGGCAGGCTCAACTCATTTGAAATGCAGTGTTGGAGGTAACCCTTACAGATACCACAGAGCAACAGAAAACTAAGTACAGTGGTGCCTCGCAAGACGAATTTAATTCGTTCCACGGTTAATGTTGTCTTGCGAAAAAAAATTATTTATTTATTTATTTATTTATTTATTTATTTATTTATTTATTTATTGCATTTATATGCCGCCCATCTAGACATAGTCTACGGAATGCACTGAAATCTAATTAATGCGTTCCTATGGGCAAAAAGAAGTCAGAACAAAGTCAAATTTGGTTGACAAAGGGTTTATTAAGTGCTCTTTAAAGCCATACATATAGTGCAGATGATTTTAAAAATTTCAGTCAAAAAACTTTAACTTTTTAAACATCACAGAAAAACATTTAAAACTCAGCAAACATGAGGCAGGAACAAAAAAAAAACGGAAAACATTCATCTTGTGAAGCATGGCCATAGGAACATTTGTCTTGCGAGTCATCAACCCCATTGCCAAAACCATTTGTCTTGCACATTTTTTTGTCCTGCGAGGCATTTGTCTTACGAGGCACCACTGTAATCAAGCCAAACCTGAATCTTCACAAAAATAAAAAATAAAAAATGAGTAAGTTAATCCTATCCTACTTTGCACATAGGAAACACAGTATTTTGGGAAAAGTGGTTTGAGAGGGGAAGAAAGAAAAGAGGAAGACCTAGCATGAATGTATATAATGTTTCATTTCACAAAACCTACAGTATGCATGCCAAGTCTTATAACAAAACAACAGGTTTTCTTTCTTTCTTCCTTTTTTCATTTTGAATGGCCTTTTGAGGATGAATATTTTAGCTCTGCAGCACCTTTCTTTCTATTTTTTTTTTTAAAAAAACAGTTGGGGTCAAACATTTGCTTTCAAGATATACAATATTGATATTTTTAATTTATATGAAGTATTTTAAATTTGGGGATATTTAGGATCACCTATTTCTGAATGAGAAGTGTATGTGGGTCCGATAGCAATTTTATATATTTTTTTAATTGTATTTTAAATGTTGAATTTTTATTCTATTTTAAATGTTGTAAGCTGCCCAGAGACCTTTGGGTAGTGTGGGTGGCATATAAATAAAATAAAATAAAATAAATAAATAAAGTTTTAAAAAATCATAATTTGAAAATTGTTTGCCAGAAGCTCCCCAAAACTGGCATAGAGCATGAGCAGACCATCTGCTACAACTATGCCAAATTTGGTGCTAATCTGAAACCCAGTTTAAAAATTAAAATTTTTGCTTGGTCTGCCCTCATTTTTAGATTTACCTCATAGAATGTTGATTTCTTCTGCTAGCACAAGAATAACCCAGGCAAATCCAGTCCCACACTCTCAGTGGGTGTGTTATTCTCAACTAGATTCTAGGCTAAGAATTCTCACAAAAGAAAATTGCTCAAATGCATATTCATGTATATGAAAGTAGAATTTTTACTACAGTTACAAAAAATTACGTAATCGTTTATGAGTAATCTACTGTCTATAGCAACTATGAATCTAGCCTGTATTGTTTTAGATTCCTTTTTTTACCTATGGTTTCACCTGCCTTTATTTGGTTTCACTAAAATAAATATGGAGCTCACAGTCACGTACTTAAGAGTATGGTAACCCTCACCATATAGTACAGCCATGATTCTGTGATGTATTGTCATACATTTTTCTTAAATGTGCATATGCTAAAATGGCTTAAGAGCCTGCAAGGACTCACTGTTCTGCAGTAAATTTGGAAATCTATTTTGACATCCCCTCCTTGCAAAGGCAAAGTAATCCCTGCATTCTGTTGGTAATTTCTTTGAAAGTCCTTTCGGGCATGTTCTCCTTTTTGTTGTCATAACAAACTTCTGTTCTCAAAAGTCTAAGCGTTTCTCACTATTTTCTGTGATTTGCCTACCAGAGTGGCTTTATTTTAATTTTGTAATGACTCCTAAAAGAAAATACTTCAGTTGTTAACAAAAAAATATTCCTGCTGAAAATTATAATTACTGATTCAATTTTGAATGTATTAGTAGCATTATTTTGTATTTTTCTCAGATGAATCATGAAAATTCCAGAGCCCTTAATAAGGACTTTTCGTTGCCTGTAAAACCTCAAATTTTATGGCTCCTTACCTCACCAAGCCAAAGCTGATTTTCTATATCCAAATAATGCAGAATTGATACCTCAACTGTATAGAATTACAGCGTAGGAGTGAGCTATACACATTCATAACATGTATATTACAGAATCAAGAATCCTGTTATAATATACTATAATTTTATAGTCCAGACCAGAGCTGAAAAAGATTACTTTTCCAAAAAGGTAACTTTCCCATCTGCTGTTAATGCAGAACAGTGTACTAAAAACAGAGTGTAGGTGCTTCGTGCTTCGTGCCACTGATCTTTCTGCAGTTCAAAAATTAATTCAATTAAAAATTAGTTACATGTTGGCTGAAACAGCCCATAATTACCACAGGGAACCATACACAAGTTCACTACTCAGTTTGGGAAAGGGCAGAACTACTATAGGGAATACAGTAACCTAAGCAAGGGATAAAAATGAACACAAAGGGTGAAGACATCCCACTGAATTTCTTCCCAAAGAAAAACAGGAACTTGCATAAGTGAAAAATTCTATGACAATACCTATGTATCCTCAGAACTAGTTAGGGAATTAAATTGAATCATTTGTCAACTGTAGCAGACACTTTGAATCAGTTGGGTTTACTTAAGTGTTGATTTACTAATACTGTACCTCTAAATTCAGTGATTGTAGTTGTGACTCAAAACTACCTATTTGTGTTCTCTACTCCACCACTCTTCAGCTTAGTTCTAGAAATTTTGAACATTCTCGACCTAGACAACATGAATATTCTGTATCATTAGTTGTTGGAGACAAGGAAGGCTTT